TTAATGTTATTTTATTTTACATTATTTTTTCACAGTTAAGGGAAATATCCATATTGCTATACTATGTGTTTATGTGAATGTGATAGTGATGGAAGCATAAAGCCACCTCTCTATGCTGTTCTAATGCAGAGAAGATGGAAAAGTGCCTGTTTCACCACTGACATGCAAAACGTGATTTTGAAGTATATGAATAAATAATATGTGCTACTGTTATAACTTAGGAAAAATGATATGGTTTCATAGAAAGCTGGAGTGAATGTGATGAATGACCCTTGGGGGGCTTTCCTAGGACAGATAGAAACTCACTGTCACAGGAGGTCATGATGAGGCTCTGAGGGCCTTGCATTAGGAGACACAGCCACAGTGTGTAATATTCTGAGGGTTCTAAAGGGAAAGTCACACGCTGCAGGTCCCAGAACATTAGGAGAGTGATACTGTCATAACACAGGCACTATGATGGGCTCTTGAAGGGAGGCAGAGTCTTCAATCCATAACATAAAGGCAGTGTATGACAGATTTCCAGGGAGGTAGGTGTGTTCCATACCACCAGACTTAGACCACAGGCTAGAATTCCCAGGGCATTTAGTTTCTTTATTTGCATTTATTTATTTACTATTTTGATCTTTTTGAGACAGGGTTTTCCTGCAGCCCCAGCTGGTCTGGCACTTGCTATATAGATCAGGCTTGCCTGGATCTCAGAGCAATCTATCTGTCTCTCCCTCCCAAGTGCTGGGATTAAAGTCATGTGTCACTGTGCCTGGCATTAAAATGACATTTTAAAAGAAAACCTAGAAATCTAGGTTGTCTTGGAGCTAAAAGGAACAGGGAGACTGCAGGGCCACAGTGAGCTTCATTGCCTCTCTGTTCTAGAAACAGCTTCAAGAGAGCATGACCTGATTTGGGGGAGAAAGAAAGGAATCTTGAGAGACTATGACCTAATATATTAGGCTTTATAGAACAGGAGTTAAAGGAAGATAGGTTCCAAGGTTTGTGAAGTTGACCTCAGGTCTAACTACACTGGGCTGAACTGGGATATTGTAAGCATTAATTTCAATCTGAATAAAATCCTGTGTGGTACTTTATTTTTAAATTCACAAATTAACTTATTTTTATTTTACATGTATGAGCATTTTGTCTGCATATATTAACTGGACCATATATGTGAAATTCCTTCAGAGGCCAGAAATGGGTGTTGGATTCCCTGGAACTGAAGTTACTGCCAATTGTTAGTACTATGTGGGTGCTGGTAATCCAGAATGAGTCCTCTACAAGAGCAGCAAGAGCTCTTAACTGCTGAGTCACCTTTTGAGACTAATTATATTTAAAATATTAGTATACAACTGTAGAGCTCAGATGAAACTATAGAGTAAATAATACCAATTATAAATTGTATAAATGTCTATTCATAGGGTTAATACAGAAAATATTATTACTATCAGTACAAGATTAGAGAAATCATAAATTACTTAAGAAATATTGTGGGGTCAGCTTGTTTCCACTTGTACAGATAAAGATTTTGTAATTTCAAATGATCTTTACTATCTGGGTCATTTTGTATGGTTTTTAGGCCAGTTGTGTTTTAGGATTTCTTAGTGAATACCTTGACAGTCATGAGTCTTCCTAACAGATAGTAAGACTGAAAATAATATGTACATCTCGATTTCAAGAATAACAGTAAACATTTTCTATTTTTTCTAGAAGGCTGACATTAAAGAATTACTCATATTAATGAATGTTTAAGTTTCCTATTAGCCTCTCAAAAAGATGGCTTATTTACACAATGACTCTCTATCTTCCTCCTCATACCACCAGCAGCAGCTCCTGGGAGCCTTGCATGCACTTGGCTTCCTGGTGTTACCTGAGACTTCATGTGTCAAAAGCTCTGACTGTGAGGCTCAGGCCCCTGATATGTAACCTGCTCACCAGTAGATTCTCAGATCAGATAAGAACTGAGAACCACTGAGCTGGAGACAAAAAGGCCCAAGCTCTTCATGTCCCTCTGCCATTGCCTGGAGTTCTAATGGCTCCAGTCTCAGGTGACAGAAATTGGGAAGTTCTTGTCATTAAATTCAAACTTCCATTTGAAATGATCCAATATCTGCAATGAAACCATGATGCAAACCTGTCCCCAAGGGATGAAGTATGTTTTGACAATCTGTAACTGTGACTGGGAATTGTCAGAATTCACTGATAAGATTGGAGAGCTACATGCACACCAAGACATCCAGGTGAGATTTCAGTTATTGGATGAGGAAATAGAGATTACATGGAAATTCTAACACCTATGTACCTTCTTCAAATTAAGTTTACAAAGGTAAGCCTATTATTCTATCCAGGAAAGAAGCTCACCTTGCTGAAAAGAAACAGAAAAAAAATAAGTTTGTATATTTAATACATGTAAGCATGTTAAAAATGGAGAGTATTCAAGGAAAAACAGTGCACTGGTAATGATTTATGTTTTGTATGTCTGCATATTCAAAACCACTTCCCATACTCCCTGCTCTGAAAAGGAGAGACAAAACCTGATGGAATCCTTTCACTGTGGATGTGGCCACTCTCATGTCCATACACCCTCATATATAGAGGTATGAAAGTTACATGAAAGAAATGGTATGGATTCCAAGGCCCCTCACAGTTCAATTTTCCCTTAAGCATTTAGAAAATAAATATTTTCTTGCAAATGCAGATTAAAATGCTTAATTGGAAACTCTGTGTATGGACACATATTGTGAAGACACTATCATGCTATGTGTCTTGTAAAAATAAATCTAAACACTTATTTAGGTGACTTGCTTCCCTGTCTGAATGTAAATGTATGTACAAACATGGCAGATTAAAATACTAAATGATCAAAAATTAAAGATTTTTATGAACAATACTTCTATTTATAATTTCAAGGGAAGTTTGAACAGAAAAATAGCTTAGTGATAGGGAAGTTGTTGCATACCTTTGGTCTCTGTCATGAAAGCTTTCCGTTATGTGGTTAGAAATTTTGATAGGAATCAATAGATGGAATAAAATTATGGGAATACAAATATGTTATCCCAGTACACAGAATAGGCATCCAGAAATTTTTGAGTTTGCCACCTAAAAATTTCAGATATTCAGTTACATGTATATTCTCCTCTCCTCTCCTCCTTTCCTCTCCCCC